TTCATCGGTCCTTTCAGAGTTTTAGCCCAGGTGGGTCAGGTTGCGTATCAGTTGGATCTTCCGGCAGAGCTTAGCCAGATCCACAAAACTTTCCATGTTTCCCAGTTGAGGAAGTGTTTGGTAGATGAGACAATAGTTGTACCCTTGGAGGATATTCAGGTTGATAACAGCCTGAATTATATTGAGAGACCGGTTGCGGTTTTGGATCGAAAAACGAAGACCTTGAGGAACAAGGTGGTTCAGTTGGTAAAGCTGCAGTGGCAGTACTACCCAGAGTTGTTTATAGATGCGGCAGTAACAGACTTCGAGGAAGAAGTCTAAAATAAGTGGGGGAGATTTGTAACACCTGGTTCCTGGTATGTATTTTAATCTATGTATTTTTGCATTTTTAGCTGGGATTCAGCGAGTTGGTGGCCCGAATCTCCGAGTAGAGTCAAGATATTGAGCACGTTTAATTTGTCAATTCGGCGAGTACATACCATGAACTCGGCGAGTCCGCCAGTCTGGAAGAAACCCTAGATCTACGGGTTTTGCATCCTATTTAAACCATGTTATGAGCCCAAAACTCGCCCCCTTCACTCTCAAAGCATCCTTTAGCAAACCCTAACCCTCCCCTTTGTGATTTGAGTGTTTGTGTGCTTTTCCTTGAAGTTTGAAGAAGAGAAGGAAGGAATGACCAAGGAGAAGGAGAAGTGTAAGGATCTAGAACTCAATCCAGAGTCCATTGAGGTATATTTCGGATCTTTTCTGTTGCCATGATGATTTCTCTTTTAGAAACCCCATTTAAGCCATCTTTATCCATTTCCTAGCTTGATTGCAATAAAGAGATCATATTGAGTGAAAATGGCCTTTGAATCTAGCTAGGTTTGAGCTTCAAGAGCCCAAATTTATTGCCTTTATGGAACCATTTTGCATGAAAGCCCTAGATCTACTCTTTTAAGTGTCTTTTGAGCCTTTAAATCCCTTTTCATGCTTATGTACATGTAAAGTTGGAAACTTTATGTGGTAAACAAGCCTTAGGAACCCAGATCTATAAAGTGTATGCAGTGGTTTTGAGCAGAATCGATTGTATAGAAGTTGCATGCAACCGACTTGGCGAGTCGTTCTTCAGACTCGGCGAGTTAGGTCGCGAGTCCTTGAGTTTTCCCCTTCTATGTATTATGCCGAGTGGAACCAGTGAGTTTTAGGGGGATTCAGTGAGTCGGAGATCGGACCCATCCATGGAGGGACTCGACGAGTCAATGCCCTGACTCGGCGAGTCCAAAGCAATCTTCATATCTCAAGATCAGACTCGACAAGTTGTTCATACAACTCGGCAAGTCCCAGTTGAAGTGTTCATATGATGAAGGAGAACCCGACGAGTTGTTCATACAACTCGACGAGTCGGATGCAGATTGACTAAGTGTTTGTATCAAAGAGGAACTTGTCGAGTCTATGCCAAACTCGACGAGTAGTAGCGAGTAGAATTTAGGGATGTCAAAAAGTCCCATGGGACCCCGTTCCCGTGGGGGCCCCGTCCCGTTTGGGGGATTTTTTTTTTAAAAATCGGGGGCGGGGGCAAGGTTAACCCCCGTTTTAATTTCGGGGGTGGGGACGGGGGTAGGCAATCCTGTTCCGAAATCCTCATGGGGACCCCATTAATAAATTACACATATATTTACGTATATTAATTATATAAATATAATAAACAATAATATGATTTTGAGCTTCCAAAACTCATCAAAAAACATGTTTTTAAGTTGTTAGTATAATTTTTAAAATGCCATAACTTTTTTATTTTTAACATATAAAATCATGCTACAAATAGTTATTTGTTACCTAAAAAATAGCTTATTTTAGCCTAAATAACAACTTCTTTTAGCCCAAAAAAAAGTAACCCAAAATCAATCGGGGGCGGGGGAACGGGGCGGGGGTGGGGTAATAAAGGGATTCGGGGGCGGGGTGGGGGTAGGAACATTGAACATTTCGGGGGCGGGGGAACAGGGAAATTTCGGGGGCGGGGGCGGGAGATGCACTCCCCGCCCCGTTTGCCCCCGTTGACATCTCTAGCAGAATTGAAAAATGAGAGTAGAGACTCGATGAGTTGGTGGCCCAACTCGACGAGTCAGGTCAACTGTATGTTGACTTTGACCAAGAGGTTGACTTTGACCAGGGGTAAAATAGTCATTTTACCCTTAGTATAGTTATCAGTATTTGATTGAGTGTACTTATGGAAATTGTAGTCGAGGTGAAACCGGAGCAGCAGCGGACAGATTCCAGAGCGGTTCATTCAACAGCTAGACTACGAGGTGAGTCTTCCTTCCAGTAAGAACGGGTATATGGCCACAATGTCGGCCCGTTTAGTTAGCAGTAGTTCTGGACCTCGGTTCGATGCAATAGTTAGATTGCTTGATGTCTTTTTGATTCAAGTATGTTTTGTATTATGTGTTTCGGACTTCGGTTCGATGCAGTATGCAATATATGTGCTTATGCTAGTTGATATGTTTATGCTATGCCATGTTATGCTCAGTCAGTTTCCGGACTTCGGTGCGATGTAGGGGACAAGGTCCCAGTTAGTTCCGGATTTCGATCCGATGCAGTTAGTTTCAGACTTCGGTCCGATGCAGGGGACAAGGTCCCAATTAGTTATGGACTACGGTCCGATGCAGTTTCCGGGCTTCGGTCCGATGCAGTGGTCAAGGCCGTAGTTAGTTCTGGACTGTGGTCCGATGCATTGGCAAGGCCCATTATGTGTTTATATGTTATTGTATGGTATGCGGTAGTTTAGGGGAGCTCACTAAGCTTCGTGCTTACAATTTCAGTTTTGGTTTCAAGTACTTCCGCAAGTAAAGGGAAGAGCTCGGGATGATGGCATCGCACACACCACGGCTTCATTTTTTGTCCTGGGAGTTGATTTAGCTTTTCATTGACATGATTTGATACAATCTTGATGCAGTTTTCGTGTGATACTTTGTTATGGTTTTGATACATTGACATATGAATTTTATTTTATGGTATTGATCTAATGATTTTAGTAATGATTAAACAAAAAATTTTGGGTCGTATTTTAGGATGTTTCATCATAACTCATGCAGCTGCAAAATGTTGGGAATTACATCACCTTTATGTAAAATTTGCGTTCTTACACGGTGAGCTACAAGAAGAAATGTACTCCAACAACAAGAAGGATTTGAAAAAGTGAGTGTTGATTTGGTATACAACCTCGTAAAAGCTTTATATGGCTTAATACAAGCACCTCGTACATGGAATATGAAGCTTGATGAAATTCTAAAAAATATTAAGTTTCAAATATGAATCCAAGAGCAAGATGTGTATCGTAAAAGTGTTGGGAATGATCATAGAAGTGTTGGGAATGACTTGATCATCATTGGAGTATATTTCAACGATCTCTTCATCACCGGATCAAGCACAAAAATCATATCAAAATTCAAATAAGCAATAGCTATAAATTTTGATATAATTGATTTAAGCATGCTCACTTATTACCTAAGGATCAAGGTGTGTCAAAAGGAGAACGGAATTTTGATTACACGAAGAAGGTACTCAAGGATGCAGACATGTTTGATTGTAATCCCATGTTAATTCCTATGGATTCAAATGTGGAGTTTTCGAAAGGAGAATGCGAGGAAGATAACGAAGTTACTAAGCATCACAACTTAGTTGGAAGACTATTTGCTTCGGACTATACTAGATCTTTTATATGCGGTTGGCATTACACCTCAGTACATGCATACTCCAAAAAATCACATATGACGGCTATAAAACAAATCCTAAGGTATTTAAAAGGAACCATAGGCTTTGGAATTCGACACTCTCAAGGTAGATCAGTCAATTTAATTGGATACAGTGATATGGGTGACAATATAGATCAAGATGATGGAAGAAGTACAACTAGTCATGCGTTTTACTTAAATCAATCACTCTTGTATTATCATCTTCCTTGTACATGGTTGCAAGTACAACAAGTTATCAAGAAGTTTGGCTTTGTGATCTACTTGAAGAAATAACAAGAGTTTGTGTAAAAGAAGTGGTACTTAAGATTGATAATACATTTGCAATTGCACTAGTAAAAAATCCAGTTTTTCATGGACCGAGCAAACACGTCAAATCTCGTTTTCACTACATTCATGAGAGAGTTGAAGAAAAGAAGATGGTGGTGGTGGGTGGTAATAGATGGTATTATGGTAATCCTCAACAATCCCTTTTGCAACCGGTTTTAATTTCATCCTCTTGTTAATGGAATTTACTTTCCTTCCCTTGATGAAAAGTTAAACTCATTTAGGGCGTGTTCGGCAAAACTAGCTGGTAACGGGTAACGGGTAGCGGGTAGCTGGTAGCTGGTAGCTGATACGTGTAGTGTTTGATTATGGAGCGTTTTGTTGAAAACTACTCCATGTAGTTTTTGATTTTGGAGCGTTTTGTTTAGGCTAAAAACTAAACGCTATTGTCGCCGAACAAGGTTTTTTTCTTTTTTAGTAGCGTTTTCTTTAAAACTAAAAGTCAGAAGCTCTCAAACGTTGTGTGCCAAACGCATCAGAATTTCATTTATCTTTGAGAACTTGAAACAAATATATGAAAATGATGAAATTGAATTCTAATTCACCCTAATTCCAAACGGGCCCTAAGAGTTCTATTCTAAAAAAAAAAATGTCAATCAAGTTAGGCCCGGACCCAGGTCCGGAACAAGACCGATTAAGACACGGTATCAGTGGATCTAGAGTTTTGGGACCAGACCATGTGCAGTTATGCTTCAAGACGATGTTACACAGTACACACTTACATAGTCCCACCTGCAGCATCCTGACTTAGGCTTACGCACTTAGGCCCGGGACCGGACTATATCTAAATTCAATTGAATCGAATGAAATAGATCATAACTAGAAACAAATGCATAGTCAATTTTATTCATATTTTGCATTTAGTTTTCTTTTCTCATCAAGTTCTCATATATATTAATTAATTTAATTGTCAAGTCCATAGTTTGTGTTATTGTGTATCATTTTATTCGTGTTTTCAAATAACAAATTCTAAAAGTTTATTACCAAAAATAAAATACATAAGGAACGACATTAATCTCCTCATACATAAAAGTGGGGAAGCCAAAACTTACATCCATGACCATAATACACTTTAAGGCTACGTATATGTCCAATTCTTCAAGTTCATACAACATAAACATACACAATAACCCAATCTCCCACTCCTATCATACAAAAACCACCTAAAAGATCTCATTTTCTTTCACTTATTTTCTGTGATTTCTTGAAGCATTTCCACCACCTTCTTCATTTTCGGTCTCTTCGCTGGTGTGGTATCCGTGCAAAGCAGAGCCACCTTCAATGCTGCAAGCATTTCTTTTCTCCAACCAAATGAAACCGTGCTCAACTTCGCGTCCAATATCTGCTCCGGGGTTTCACCTCTCCCCGGTGCACCCTGAACCCACTTCACCAGATCCAGACCTTCCCCAAACTCTTCATCAACCGGGACCCGCGTTGTCAGTATCTCCAGTAATACCACCCCAAAACTATACACGTTTCCTGGAGCCGTTACTTGCATCGTGTACGCATATTCTGTAAAAAAAAAAAAAAAATAGGGACGACTTTATAATCAGTTGACATTTACGTCTTTTGCACATACGAGAGATGACCGACCTGGCTCAACCTTTTTGGATGGGACAAAAAATTGCAAAATTTGTACGTTTGATATCAGTCACAGTCTCAGTCTAATGCATGTCAAACACAGTATAAGTATCAAAGCGGACCTAATTTGTGATTCGTACCTGGAGGAATGTAACCAAACGAGCCTGCAACCGCGCTAATACTAGCCGTGCCACGAGACGGATCCAAAAGCTTCGAGATTTCAACTTCACCAACCAACGGCTTAAAATCGGAATCAAGAAAAATGTTTCCCGAAGAAATATCAAGATGAATGATAGCAAGATGATGCAAAAAAGCTAACCCTTCCGCAACCCCAACCGCAATCGAAAGCCTCATAGGCCAATCAGGCTTGTACCCGGGTTCCTTACTAGACTCATGTAAAAACCGAACCAATGTCCCATTGGCTAAAAACTCATGCAACAAAAGAGCCACATCTTCGTATATCGCGAACCCGATTGGTCTAATCAAATTCTCATGGCAAAGATTACTAAGCCTCTCGAGCTCACGGATCATCTTGTTTTGTTGATGAATGATAGTTTTGTCAACCGATTTAAGCCGTTTGACCGATAAAGTCAAACCCGAAGGCATTTCGGCTTTGTAGATCGTACTAAACGTCCCGCTACTAATCTTGTTAGAATCTTTTAGTGTTGCTTTCACAACCGCATCAAAATCGATTGCTTGTTTCAAATTCTCAACAAACACATTTCCACATATTACCAATGGTTTGTTTGTATTATCATCGATTTCTTCATCTTCATTTCCAACTGTTTTCGCAGCCTTTTCTTGCTTCTCTCTCATCATGAACAAAAGAACAACCACAGTAACGGATAGAAACACCAGCAAACCCGACCCGATAACCGCCAACACGATCCGGTAAGAAACCCTGTGATGAAACGATGGATCCGACCCGTTTGAATTCCCACAAAAGGAATTCAGTGGGTACCCACAAAGACCTTCGTTCTTCCAAAAGCTTGAATTTGGGCTCTTTTGAAACGGGGTGAAAGTTGGTATGGGACCTGAGAGGCGATTATTTGCAAAGTTTACATCAATTAAACTTAACATACCTTTTAACGCCAATGGGATGTTGCCTGTGAGTTGATTGTTTGAAAGATCTAAAGATACCAATTTGTCGAGTTTTCCTAAATCGGGAGGTAAAGTTCCGTAAAGATGATTGAAGCTTAAATTTAAAGCGATCTGCAAGTTCTTGATTCGACCGATTTCAGGGGGGATTGTTCCGGTTAGATAATTACCACCCAGCTGTAATTCTAGAAGCTTTACACAATTCCCGATTTCATTCGGTATTTCCCCTCTCAATGAATTCTGTCCCAACAACAAGTATTGTAATCTCGATGAGTTACAAACACTTTGAGGTATGCTTCCGTTGAATCGGTTGTTGCTTAAATCAATTTTGTTAAGATTCTTGTTGGAAAGAACAGAAACGGGAATCTCTCCAAAAAGACTGTTCCCGGAGAGAATCAGTTCTTGGAGATTGATCATTTCACCGAGACCAGAAGGTATGATTCCGGTGAACCCGTTTGAAGCTAAATTTAAGAGGGTGAGATTAGTACATTGAGCAAACTCCGACACAATCTCACCGGAAAGATTGTTGTTATCTGCTTCGAAATAAGTGAGGCTGCTAAGATTCCCGATTTCTCTTGGGATGTTCCCGATGAGATCATTGTCACCGATTCTGATACTGGAAAGATGTTTACAGTTTCCGATGGCTTCAGGCAAAGTACCACTCAGTTTATTCTGAGTCAAAACCAAAAACTCTAATTTTCCGTTAATGAAAACACTCTTCGGAATCGATCCTTCGAGATAGTTGGAATGAAGGTTTAACAATTGAAGTTCGGATAAAGAACCTAAAGTTTCGGGGATTTTGCCATTTAGCTCGTTTTCGTAAGCTGTGAACACCTTAAGATTCGTCAAATTTCCCACCCAAATGGGTATACTTCCGTTCAAATGATTGGTGTATATTTGGAAATCTTGTAATCTTTCAAGCCCTTCAAGCTCATCAGGTATTGGTCCTATGAGTAAGTTGTTTGAAAGGTTTAAAGATTTGAGATTTTTGAGTTTGCCCAACTCAGTAGGGATTGAACCATCGAACTTGTTGTAAGATAAATCAAGAAACTCGAGTTCGGAAAGGTTACCCAAAGATTGTGGGATCGATCCATGGAAGGTGTTAAAGGACAAATCAAGCCATTTTAATGACTTGAGTTGAGAGAGTAAAGTGAGATTACCTTGTAGGCTTAGATGAGAAAGAACAAGCTTTTCGACAGATGAATGATCGGAGGTACAAGTAATGTGAGGCCACATGCAGTAATTTGAGCTGTTCTTGAGTCCATTTTCGTCCCAATCGAGCAATCTAAGCTCCTTGTTAATGGCTAACAAAGTGAAAAGATCATCATCGCCATTGATGACTTGAGAACTTGCAGGCTTTTGGCAACATGAAAGAACCCCAATTATCAACATCAAGAACAAGCACAAATTCGCCATTTTTTTGGGTTCCCACGAAAAAAGAAAGGGGAAAAATCCAAAATTTCTCCCTTTTCTTGAATTATGATGAAACCCCACTACTTTTTCGGTCAAATTTCCATGGAATATGCTTCGTTGTGAGTGGAGAGGAAAGATTATACTGAAAAAGATACTAAATATCCAGCACCCAGTAAAGGAATTTTTTAACTTCTGCGACAAATAATGCTTCAAAATCAAGAAAAAAAACCCTTGATTTGAGGGGGGAAGTGTATGAACTAATCAAGGGTTTATGATCGAAACCCAAAACCCCAAATGTATATAAATCAAGGATCAAAAGAAAAGAAATACAAGTGGGGTTTTGCTTGGAGAAAGATATACCAACCACCAACGTACTAAATACTTTTCAAGATTATGGGCATAATTTGAGTGAAGAAGAGAATAAAAAACCGGAAATTTGGGAACAGAAGTTAGAAGAAGAACATAGTAAGTAGCTTCTGCAGATAGAAAAAGAAAGAAATATATATTCAAGGAGAGAGATGACAGGCACTTTGTTTTTTCGCAGACAGAGAAGAAGTGAGCAGTCACGACACTCACGAGTCAAATGAGAGTATGTACAATGTAGGTGTTACTGTGTGTATTCTTTATTAATTTCCCCCTTTTCCTGATTTTTCTCTTTCAAACAGTTTGGTAACTGAAATACGTTACAAAAAACAAGTGTCAAGTATATAAATCGTTATCATGGTAGATTCAAGATTGTGCATTTACGAATACTGTTTTTTTTTTCATCTGCGCATAGCTTTTTTTTAAATATATACGTTTTCTTTGTTTTTAAGCCATCGACTCTATCTTTACACCATACAAATAATAATATATGTTATAAATGTTCAAACATCATTTTATTATATATGTTATAAAATTAAATGGAAAGATATTATATATAATTATAAATAAGAACAATAAATAAAGAAAAAAACATAAAAACACTACTTTTGTTTTATTATTCTGAATTTTATAAATACAACTTTATATCATTATCCATGAATGAATATATGAACCACACGTTAATATTAATATTAAAATTTACTAAGGTGTTGTTTGTTTTTTCTGAGGTAAAATATGTGTAGTCTGCAGACCACATCTGTAGACCTCTGCAGTAAAAGAGATGGACCAAACGTCTGCAGTCTGAAAAAAGAAGACTGTTTATTTTTTTAACATCTACGGGCTAATAAAATAAACTGAAATTTAAATAAACTGATTTTTTTAAACTTCAAAATGATTTTTTAATATTTTTATAACTTTGTTATAAATAATTAACGAATCTAGATCAACTTTTATGTGTTATTGAATAAAAATATAAAAATAAAAATTGAATGAATTAACGTATATATTTGATAAAAACCAACAACTTTGGTTGCAAAATTATAACTAAACATTATAATTAGTGATCAAAAAATTTGATACATAAATGGATGCAATATAAACTTCGATTTTTTCAATTAAATCCATTAAAAACGTACCATAAATATTTTCTCGAAAAATTGACGATACTGTATTAAATATTATTTTACAAAATTTGGCAAAAAAATATAAGAATATATTATGATTGTTTTTCATATTTATATAAACAACTTCAACGACTATTATTGTAATAAATCTTTATTTATAAATTTGTCAAAAATATCATGTTTTTATCGTTGAACGTTTTTTTTTTAAGTTTTGTAGTTTTTTTTCAATTTGTTTATCATTAATAAAGTTGAAAAAAATATAAATTAAAAAAAAAAAAAAAACTTAAAAAAAAATAAAGATATATGTTTCTTTAGAATAGAAAATGGCTGAAGATATTAGAAGACTCTAGTCCACATCTGCACCAAGAAGAGAGCGCGCAAACATTTTTAGGTCTGCAGTCGTCAAAAAAACAAAAAATCTGCGAATGCTAATGTTTGCGCGTGGTCTGCGCGGCGCAGATAGAAGAGGTCACGCAGATCTGCAGAAAAAAAAAAACAAACACTACCTAAATTACCATATATATATATATATATATATATATATATATATATATATATATATAATTCATTTGTTCCAACTATTTATTAATAGGATTTATGATTAATTGTGACCAATCATTCCAAAAGGTGATCGAGTAAAATTACATATTAATTGGTTTTTTTATTATTTAAATTGATTAGTATCTATAACAAATTTTGACTTGAAAGAACTTGCTCTTTTATTCATCCTTTCTCTAATGTCGATGGTCTCAGAAGTCAACGAACGAACCTTCTCTAAGAATGATTTTAATAATAATGTATGATTATATATAGTCTATCAACAGTTTCATCCGATTTTGAGTTTGATTCGACAATATCTCTATTGATTTTTATCTTCCAATAGAAGTGGTAGTGAGACGGTTTATGCAAGATTCAGGGGAGGATCAGATTAGTTATAAAAGGAGTGTGCGTGTTTCCTAATTAAATGGATGATGGAATGTACATAAATGCCCTTATATAACGGTTAACAACCATTTTCCTCATTTTAATTCATTTTCTTTTTCTGATTTCTTTATTTATATATTCATTAAATTAATTAAGAATGATTGGTTCACAATCACTCTTACCACCACACAATAATTAGCATCCACACTACAACCTAAGCATATATATATATATATATATATATATATATATATATATATATATATATATATATATATATATATATGGTTAAGTTTAAATGAGAATATTATTTTATGTTACTATTCTACTATGAATTTTATATATACAACGATATGGCATTATTCATCAACAAATATATGAACAATCATACATTAATATTCACATTAAAATTTTGTATGTACAACTTTATGACATTATTTATCACCGAATATATGAACAATCATATATTTAACAATCACATTAGAATTTACTAAATTACTACATATATGTATATATATATATATATATATAATTTTTATAGTAGAATAGCAATATAAAATTGAATATATTTATATTATAATTACTACAATACTATACATATTAAATTCATAGTAGAATAGTAATATAAAGTAGTGTTCTCACATTAAATAGTGTTCTCATTTGAACTTAACCCTATATATATATATATATATATATATATATATATATATATATATATATATTCCCACACCCCCAAACTGGAATGGTGGAAACGTTCGGGGATGGAGGACGTCATTTACAACATTGCTTGTATAACAATTATTGCATTGTTAATATAGTGATGACATTTATTGCATTGTTAATATAGTGATGACAGTATGTTTGCAACATTGTAACAATTATTGCATTGTTAATATAGTGATGACATTATGTTTGCAACATTGCTTGTATAACATCAAAATGTATAGCAAAAACTATAGACGAGACACCCTGAATGCTCTGTCTTCTCAAAAACCTGTAGCGTACCTGTCTACTGGTTCCCTAAGAATACAAGTGATTTTGAAAGTGTATTAACATTTAAGTTGGTGAGTTCATAAGTATGTTTTTGTGATGGAAACCTTGTCATTGTTCCTTGGAAAACATTAGTATGTTCTTCCAGAAAATCTAATATTTTCTTTAGTAAATGAAACGTAGTCTTAGGCCTAAAGACCAAAATGTATGTTTGTTACTCTACTCTGAAATAGTATACCGTACTGTATTTGTATGAAAACCCTTTTGTATGAAAGTGTCTGGAATCCACCAGCTGTACTGTAAAGTAGTGTATTGTAATGTAGGTCTATTATAAAAATAAAACCATTTAAGTAGTGTAAATCTCGTGAACAATGTTTTAGTTGATAATGTTGTGAGTTTCACATAACCATGCTAAAATGACTAGTGGCCTCTACGACGTTCTTCGGGTATCGGAAGGTTATGACATTTGTCACCCTAGGTTTGTCGTCATAACTGTAGCTAACAGTTTAGGTGCAGGATTGTCAGTCTCATTCACGCTCTCCCTCTAGGAGACTCTGGTTATAATTTATACGACTTAAACCTGTACCCTGATGGGTACTAATAACTTATTTTATTTCCTTATTTTTATTAGTTCGTTTTAGTATTTTAGCTCTTTTTATCATTATTGCATTGTATTTTATTTATTTTCTTTATTATGGATCATACCAGGGACTTTTTATGTTGCATGAGGTATTATGCAGGGTTTTGGAGCTTGTTGTGGTTATGGTTAACTTTCTCAAAGCTAGTAATTTTTCTTGAATCTCGTGCATTTGAAACCATATTTTTTAACTTTCTCAAACCACATTCATTTGAAACCCCCTTTTTTAACTAATGTAACTCAAAAGTTTTCTTAATTATGATTTAACACTCAAAAGATTTATAGTTTATATTATGTTTACTTAGCACTTAGTGAAAAGTTTACTATAAGAAGGTCAATCTTTTGTGTCTTTTGTGTTATATAAAATCTTACATGTAAGAAGAAGTTGAAGATATTGTGATTCAAAAGTTTTCATATAGTTGACGCATTCACGATCCAAATATGATGATTTGAAGAAATGAGTTATGTCGCATCGATGGTAATTGCAATATGATTTTTCTTTCAACCAAAACAAATGAAGCTTTTCCATTCTTTCTTTATATTCAGTTTCCCATTTAATCTTTATATGTGATTTGTGTGTATTACTCAATCTTGAATGTGACTCTCCAAACATCAACGTTTTGCTTGGAATATCTTTCTCATTCTTCTTTTTCAAGAAAAATATTTTAATTGCAGGTTAGTGAAGAATTTTCATCAAGTTTCTATGGTTGAATGGTGTTAAATGAAGAAAGAAGATTCATAAAATGGATATAGGTTTTTTTGTTTGAGCAAAGTTGACGAATGTTTGTTTTTTCTTTTCATTTAAATGTATGTTTATGTAACATCTTTATTTATATGTTCAACCACCCAATGTTCTTATTTATTTGATTGTAGTTTTCTATTTTGATTATGTTTATTTTCTATTATTTTTTTTGTTGGGTTATCCTACACAGCATATTTAAAAGATAACATAATTTTGAACATTT